GCTAAATTAATTTCAGAAAAAAAATTGTTTTGAAAAGTCCTTGTGTGAAGTGTTTTATTCAAGGATGATGAAATATGATTAAATTTATCTTTAAAATTCAATCAGGGCATTTAGTGCAAATTTCTGTTTGATTGAAAAACAATTAAGTCCGGAAGTACAAACCTACAAGTACCATTTGTATCAACTGAAATTTTAAAGTCGATATTTCATGTTTGAGTTAAACATGCATTTGTATTATGATATCATATTCATCCTTTATACTGACACTTCCCTTTTGTCTAATCATAAGAAAATTCAATGTCTGGGATTTGATTGATTGATTGTTGTTTGTTAAACACCCAGTGGCAAATATTTGATGAATTTATAATAAACTCCCTCCCTAGTCAAGCATCTGTTTTTAATTGAAAGGAAAAAAGTGTGAATGTGTAATTTCAATTAAATACACAAGCATTGTATTTTCAAATATGTAAATGATTTCTGACCATAATTTTTAATCTGGGACACAAAACTTTAAATGAATTTTTAAATCCATTACAAAAACTATCTCTGGTGAATTATGGTAATGTTTGGCATTTTTTCCATCGATCCATGTTAATAAACCAATTTGTAGTACAAGTTAACAATTCTATGGCCTGCTCAAAGACAGACAACGCCTTCTTATCCATTGTGTGTGTTTTTAAATGGAGAACATGATGTATTGTTATATCCATTGATCGGTATAAAACTTATATAAACCAGCCTTTCACGGGGTCACCTAACTGAAAAAACATGGGCGGAGTGACACAGCTTACATGAGTTCCTGGTTGGTTTGAAAATATCACTGAGTCATAAACTTTTCAAAAATGTACTTTTTGCATTCAAATACACCTGCTCGGTTTTGCATAATAAGTATTATTATATTTCTTTTCAAACAGAAGTTTAAATTCTAAAAAGATATAATGGAGCTTTTGTAAAACTGTATTGTAATCTGACATCTTACATAATACATTTCAATTTGAATATCAAATCATTTTCAGTAGTCAGTAAGATGATGGGTGGTAAAATTTAAAATCCGACCTAATATGACAATAACTTTTCTATGGGTAATATTTTTTATTCCTGTAAAAGAAAACCTGGGTCTTAATACATGCTACCACCTATTGATGAAGACTATAATTATAAAATATTACTTCACAAATTGTAAAATCATACATGTTTTTTTTAAAACACCATTTAGAATTACATGAATTGGTGCAAAAATGCTTACGTACATCAATTCACATCCCAATCTATATAGATTTAATGTCTCTATTATTCCTAACATGAATAGTTATAATTATCACATCAATATGTCTTCAATTGCTATTCAATTTTTTACCATGTCTAATTTTGAGAACAGATTTTATTGATAGGGTATGTCAAAACTTTATGTTGAAACAAATCTCCAATTTTGCTATTCACACCTTAAAAGTAATTGTTATTTTATGTTTATCTTCATAAAATAATGACAGCTTGTTTATCAAGATGAAAAAGAGAAATTGAGTGACTATTTAATCATCATGAGACATTGTTAAAAAAATATAGATTTGTTTCATCTTTGATTTTCATTAGACAATCCTAAATGGATTCCTTGTTATAAATGTCAGGTGCCCTCATAGATTTTTAAAATCTTTTTGAAGACTGGCATTTAATTAACACCAAGCCCTGTTTTCAAAATCAAGTACTCAATCAATGCATTCAGAAAAAGAAACTTTGGAATTGCATAGACTTATACCTCTATTTGATTAATTTGATTAATATTTCAAAAAACTACAAATTAAATGGTTGTTTTAATGATATACTTCTCTACTTTTGAATGTTTTGTAGTCATCATTTGACACCTAAATGGTATTACCAGAAAGAATTATGATTCATAAATTATTTCAGTTGTTTAAATTATATCTGTTTTTAATTTTCCTCTTTTGCAAAGTAAAGGTGATTTTGAATTAGTCTATTAAATATAAAATTCATTTAAAACCACCTAATGACATATATTTAGCATAATTTAGGTTCAATTTTTTGCCTTCCAAATACAGATAATGCCTTTCATGAATGTATTACTATTAAATTAAATGATGAAGCTTTGAAACAGTAAATTGATATATATATTTTACAAATTTTGATAAAAAGGCATCTTATTTCCAATGGTTTCATTTAATCTTAAAATTTCACATTAATTCAAATTTTTAGTATAATCAAATATTCAATTTTTATGATCATGAAAACATCAGAAATAGAAAGAGTAATTAACTTGAAAAAAAAATATAAAACAAGCAAACCAATGTCATGCTGTCATGAATTCATCAAGGAAGAAAAGGTCAATATCATTCATTTCTTCAGGTTTTTTGCTTGTTTTTGTTTGTGTTTATCTTTTGGTCTAATGTGCCTGGTTTATATGTGACAATGAGTAAAAACAAAAAGCAAAAAAAAAGGTAAAATTACCTAATATTTTTTTTTACAAAAATACAGTACTATATCAATCAAAGAGTTGAGAGTAGATACAAAGATTATATTAACATCGTGACATGAGAAGAAAAAGTTTACTACAAAACACCTGACAATTAAAAAAAGGCCTTTTGTTTATGATTGACGAGATTATTTTTTTCTAAACATATTTAGTATAAGGGCCATTATTATGTCTATTCTGCTAAAACTTTGTGTAGATGGTTGATTACAAGTATGTACTGGGCATTACCAGTTACACCCACTTTATTACATCCAGAGACTTATAACATATATAACATTATAAACATTGCATTGCACGTTTATTCTATATTTCTGTTTCCTACATACCTGTAAACCTATTTTTACCAATGTAGTTTTATAGATTATTGAATGAAACATTAATGTGAAAAAAAATTGCATACAACTCTAATAAAGTCAGTTATTCAATCCTTAAACCACTCATACAAATCAATTTTAAAATTTCTCACAAGAATGAGGAAGTCATAAAGGGAATAAAGATCAAAGGTTTGTAAAACTAGGATCACAATATCAAATTAGGAAAAATTGTGTGTGTGTTACTAGGAAAGACATAAAAATAACCCTTCCCTAAATAGGATAATTTCTTTCTGTGAAACTTTACAATTTTTACTCATTAAAGTTATACAAATAGAATACAGATTTCAACATATTTAATTTTGAAGGGGAATATGATTTTGAAATATCCAATATATATTCATGGTCTCTGCTGTTTTACAGATGCAAACTCGTCAAGAAATTTTCACTTTGAATCAAGAATTTGAAAAATGTCAGTAATAAGGAGAGTAATCAAGAGAGAAAACCTTATAAGTCATACAACAAACTCAAAGGTATTTTAGGTAGTCATTACTATGAAATTCAACCTCTCCACAAAGGCTAATCTTACTACATGTATAAGGTATTATTTCCTATGCTGAAAGGGGAGATGGCTTAAAGAGAGGGTACTATTGAAAGATATGTTTACTTATGTCCATTTAAAATTCATGGGATCTATAAGAAGACATTTGCATTGAAAATAGATAGAAGTGCAGGTAATCGGCTATCTCTTTTACTGATAAAACATCATCAGAGTTTATCTTTGTAATCTGATTCAACCTGTGGCCAAGATGTCACAAAACAGAAGTTTGAATGTACTTCCAATAAAAATTCTGTGTTAAATTGTTGTATGGTGGTCATCTTGGATTTCATATTTCAACTAAACTATGAAAATGAACAAATTCAGGACATGTTTACCTGATAACCCTTGTCTTTTCATGATTTTAGTCTAAGGAACAGTGTAAAATGTGATGATTTCAAACACGTTTCCAAAAAAAAATATTGAAGTCAAAGTATTGTACATAGATTGAGGCTTATGTATTTGGCTGACACTAAAAGAAAAGCAATAGCACAATAAGGCAGTAGTTGTTGAAAAAAACAATCACACGGAAATAAATGTTATCATGCAATCTAAACTTTGACCTGAAAATTGTGTAATAATCTAAATACAGGCCAATTATTATATCTAACTATTCATCTACATCCAAAGGGAGTTCTATATTGCATAATTATATAACAATTTTACCTATACATGGTATATTATGTGATTATTATGCTTGCCTCATTGCATTCATTTGTCCTCAATATGCATGAAATATTTGCCACATGACATGAAAGCAAGCAACAATCAATCAATCATACCACATCTTCTTACTTTATAATAATCAAATACATATCTAAATGTTGTCAGTATATTTTGTTTGAGACCTTTTTTCGGAATATAAACCTTAGACCAAAAACATAGACAAGTCAATATGAAATCGTAGTCAAAGAGACATGTATATGCGGGGGGCATGGGTTGCAGGGCTACAGGTTGTGCACTATTGTCAGATTTTCTGTAGATAATGCATGAAAAACCCAGTTTTTGTGATAAAAAGAAAACTAAAGGATATGAGAAGATAGCTCTAGCAATGTGCTTTCAGAAAATAAATGGAAAAATTGACGTCATGGCACTACAATGAATCACATTTTTCTCACAAATTTTGCATTTTAATTAAAGATCTAAACCAATTGTTTTCTGCTATTTTACAATCAAAGATGGCGGAAGACACCAAATCTACCTTAAATGCACTAAACTACCAAGCTATATCTATGTGAATGAATTAGTATCTTAAAACTGAATTAAGATGTAAAAGTAATTTCAGTTAATTCATTCTTAAACAGAGAAATGTATGTCATAGTGACCTATCAATAGTGACAAGTTGACAATCTTATCTACATATAACCATCATCAATGTTCAAAAAAAACTTTAATATGAAATGACTATGATCCAAATTCTTTTTTCCTATGTCACAAAATAAGTAGACAAAAAGAAACTCCAATCTTTTTAGTCTTGCTTTAATCAACCAGAGCTTTAACAGAAACCCTCCAAACTAGAAGTTCTAACCAACACACCACTTAGCCAGGACATGAGGACATCAGTTCAATATGGAGGTTGACCTAGAAAGATGATAAAATGTTTTACCTGGACACATCAGCTCATCTGATCTATCTGAACACTGATGAATCCCATCACATATCCATGATCTACTGATACATCCACTTCCATCTGAACAGCGGAATTGTCCTGCAACACACGCTGATGTCTGACACACAGAGCTATAACCTATATCACAATTATTTAGTGTCCAACGATATTCTCCATAGTCAGATAAAGTTGTTGTCATAACAGTACATAGATCATATTCTGAAGAAGAAAACAGTTAATTACGCCGGATAATGATAAGTGAAGAAAATACAAAATTATCTGTTTTGTGTGATGTTCAACATAAAAAACAATACGATAATCTGAAATATAGTAACCAGAAATAATACATATTTTTACTTTTTTTAATCGAGCCTCACTGATGGTCTTTTGTAGACGAAGCGTTCATCTGGCATACAAAATTATAAGCCTGGTACAATCAAATGTATCATTGTGAGTTTTTTTTATACAAGTAAATACTGTCCTCAGCAAGATGAAATATTGTACTAGATTGAGATCTCCTTTTATTTATATTTTGTGTCTACTGATAAATTTCTAGCTGTTTGTTACGTTTTTAGCATGATGTTCAGTGGCAAGTATTACATTATATTCATGACAAGAACAAGCTGAAAATCAGTCCAATAAACAAGCCCTGAAAATTGGGTAAAGTCAAAGAATTTTGACTGCAACCGTTTAAGGCTAAATTGACTATGCACATAAATTCTTCCTAACAGCAGGTCACCTTGGGCCTCCTAAAACAGAGCTTTAACTTCATGCCAGGGGCTTTAGATTTATCTTTTCAAATTACTTTTGAATCTTTCAAATAATGGTGAGTATAAAATGTTAACACACTATGACATCTTATTTGAAAAATTGCACATCAACACATTCATGTAAGGTGTAATAATTTCTAAGAAACAGAAATTGCAGAAATCTTCAATTCCTATGCAATATTGAAAAGTCCACATTTAATATTTAAACAGAAAAACACTTCATTTTATATGTCAGTTACATTTCTGACTTGGTGCAGGCAACTTCCAGAGGAAGGTAAGGGTATACTACAGACGAGTCTTTATAGTGTTAAAACTTTCATTTACAACGTTCCATCAGTAACAGGTGATGGTGTCTCTAGTTCTTTACGTGATAACTTTTAATTACATAACATAGTCATACATTACAATTTTAATAAAAGAATTAAAAAAAAAAAAATGACATCTTCCGCATCTAAACATTCACTTCAAAAAGTTTTTACATCTGTTCAAAGTGATAAGCAATGTTTAAGTTCTATGAATATATAAGATGTGGTTGATTTCTCTATTTTACACCTATGTATGGTTAACATGAGATGTGGTATTGCTTGAATGACAAGAACCAAGTGGTTATCCATACATTTAAATTAGACCATTAGTTTTCTCTTTTGAATTGTTTCACATTTTTCATGTCGGCTTTTTCTAGCCAGCCTATACTTTACAGTATGGGTTTTTCTCATTGTTGAAGGCAGAAGGGTGGCCTATAATTGCTTACTACCAATTATTTTAAATCTGGTAAATAATTTTCTCATTGGTAATCATACCACATCTCCTCATTTTTACATGTTTGTGGTATGTTAGGCCATCATTGTATATCTCAGGTTTTAAAATGGGTTTTTGCTCAGTGTTGAAAACATTCCAGCACTGTTCCTGATGAAGAATAGCAATAAAATTCTTGTTCTTGTTCTGTTAATGCCATTTGATGATATCTAGTGTACTTATATAATAGTCATTGAAGAACTGGTCATTATCGTGATATATGGACTGCCCACAGGACAGTGGTATTGACTAAGACAGCGATAATGACTGTGCCGTAGGCGAGGTCATTATCACTGTCGCAGTCAATATCACTGTCCTAAGGGCAGTCCATGTTTCACAATAATGACCAGTTCTTCAATAACTGTTATGTTTATTTCATTGAGGAACCATGTTTTTAAAAATTTCCATAAATTCAAATTGTTCAAAGCAAACTCGAGTTATTGTACAATTTCTATGGGAAGACCAGTCATAGTGATAACTAGAAGTCACTGCCATTCATTTAAGTGCAATTTTTCAGTATGAATACAAAATAAAGTTTTCTATAATTTTATAATTCTTGTTGCTGAGTAGTTTGTCTCTATCAGCATCGGAAAGTACGGCAAAACGATCATTCCAAATGTCTGAATCGCGATTGCGTTTTATTAAAGGGACATCACTCTAAACAGAGAAACCATGCCCCACTGGTCATTAACATGTAAAAGTCCGTTAAAGACCGGTTTTCTGGTCTGTTTTTTTCAGTAAAAGACCTATGGAATTTTTTACTAAAGAATAAAGAATGTCATGTGGCCCCTTGTTATCCAATAAGAGAAGCTAATTCTTAACCAATATGAAATAAATATATTTAATAATCTAAATATGATATTGAAAAACTCTCTTTCTAATTTTTTAAAAGTTTCTGGAAAAAAAAAAGGGAACATGGTAAAAATAAAAGGGAGGGGGTGACACATCATATATCATGCAATGTTTTTAATTTCTGAATAAAAGAAAATATTTGGAAATATTTTGATGTAGTTCATACAAACCAATTAAGCTGTGGTCTGTTTTAGGGGAAGTGTAACACCCTCTCATTCAAACACAAGACTAGACATGTTAAGTAATAAGATTACTCACTTTAGAGGCCTTGTAGTAAGTTACAACGATCGTAAAAGTGGGAAAAAGTATGATTTATATCCCTTTGATTTTGTTTGTGACATGAAAATCAATTCCGACATACATGTTTTTCAAAATACATGCACAATTATTATTGGTTCTGCATGTACTTATAATATAAGTCAGACTGTCTTCAATGGAAAAATTAATAACTTGCAGCATAAATCATTCATGTGTTAACCCATTTTTCTGACAAGTGGGGAATTACTGTCAGACATTTTTTGTAAATTTTTAGCTGTTTAAGTATAGAAATTGTTAAAGTAACACAAAATGATTTAGACAAACAAATGTTATATTTACGAAACATTTGCCTAAACAATACTAATTTTAACGGCAAACAATTAAGATCTTATGCAACATTCTCTACAGATGTTCTGCTATGAAACCGTATTATGAAAGAGAGCCCACAATTGAGACAGAAAAAAACCTGGAAAGTATGCAAGACTGAAATATCTTAAGACACCTGAGGGTTATATTTATATGAAGATTGTCAGAGAATGGATATCTTATCAAAGAGTGTCTATAGATCCCAGGTCTTATAGAATGATAAAAAATTCAAAAATGGCAGAAAAGGTAGAGGCTAGGGTGTACACTGCCTTAACCAGGAGAGGGTGTACACTGCCTTAACCACAGGCTTAAGAAAGGAAAGGATCAACTCAGTTTAGAGTAAAACTGTCTTCTTCTCTATTTTAACTGAAACTTATACAGTAATTGTGGGATACTATGTGGTGATATAACACTGTAGTATTCTGTTATAGCACTAGTGCCAAGGAAGTAATTCCTACCTTGCAACAATCCTACACATTAAATTATCTTGATTAATTTATTATTTTATTTATTTGTAGCCTAGGCGTACAAATTATAATGAAGAGCAATTTTAACTTCCATCAATTCAACCCTACTGTTCATGATAGAGACCATTACTTCTTTGTAAGAACTACTCCTATACAATTAGAAAATACAAACCAGTAGATTGGATGGGTAGCTGGGTTGTCCAGAACCCATCTGCAGCCTCTGCTAGCTGTCCATTGGACCACCAAAATTCACCAGATTTCTTTCTTTGTAAACCTATCATATTCAAAAACAAAAATTAAAGTACTTATTATATACCAACTGATGACCTGGTCAAAATGTCAAAGCTAAGAATCGGTAAAAGGATGGAAGGCATAATGCATTGATTCAAAATTATTTTTGCTTCTGTGTTTCAAACATAAAATATGCAAGGCAAATAAAAAATGACCTGAATGTAAATAAATACTATGAGTCATGTTATCTAATTAATAATTATTTACCCAAGGTTAATTACTTTGTCTGCTATTAGTTTTCAGCTTGTCAAATGTCACTTACTCTACCATTTATTTCACGGCCCTGTCAATCATTAACACAAATTGTGTACGATTTCTACTTAATTCTACAGTCAAAACAAATATACATGTAAAAAAATTACAAATATATTCATGTTCAAGTATATGTAAGGTTAAGTCAAACAAGAAAACTTGTATATGATGACCTAACGCTATACTTAGTACAAGAAAGGTACTTGATAATTTGCTAAAACAGTTAGTTATGTCAAACCCAACAAAGTATTTGTTTCAAGGTTTTATCACAATGTAATTTCAGAAACAGTCTTTATCATAAAGTAATGAGTATCTGCAATGTAATACTTCCTGTAGAATTGTAACAAAAGAATTCATGGTAGCATTCTAAAATTTTGAGATTTTCAAAAGGAGTGGGAGGGGGACCTGCAAAACTTTAAATCATGTTGATTTTTTTATTTTACTGCTGTTGCTTTATTCATTATGGCCTATAAAATTCTTATATTCACAGCCACCATTGAGAAATTACAAATAATCAAGTTATGTTAGGTTTCTTTATATTCCAATCAATTCAATAAGAACTGTAAGTTTTTGTGTTTAGTTGTCAAAACTTCCCCATATGAAAAAATAATGTTTTGTAATGAGAAAATTAGAAATCTAAACCTATTACTAAATAAAATAAGAATTGCATAACTATACATGGTGTGAACTAATTTGGTCAAGTTTATATCCATTCATAAATAAAATCTAGTAGAAAGGATTATCAAACTTCACTTATTTAGAAAGGGCATATTCAATGTTTGAAAAATTTGAAAACGGCGATAAAAAAACAAAATAAAAGCTGCACAACTATATATGACATCAAGTTTTGTTCCATTCCAATGTTAATACAGGTATAGGATATTTTGTGTGACAAACATCCTTAACCAGAAACCCCTTATATCAATCTGATAAAAACAAAAATACAGTAAAGCATAACTACATGTAGTGAAATGTAATTCTGTCATATGTGAGGTGCAGGAGATAGTTCCCCATATAGAAATGGTAATGCTCCCAATATTCAATATGATGACAAAAATGAATATGGAGGTGCACAACTACACATGGTATGAAGTCATTCACCCATTGATATTCACCTGGTGTCTTTTTAACAAATTTTCTTGCATTTTGATAAAATTTTCAACACCAATGAAAAAACCTAATTCTAAATATTGGCATAACCTAACAGTAAGACTGTTACAACTGCCAAGAATACAATTGTCACTAGAGCCTTCACCACAATGATAATGATTATTGTGTTAAAAACTACTATCATCTGATCTAAATATACCAGTCATTTGTATAATATATAAGACAAACAAAAACTGCAATATATTAGTTGTTTGATACAAGAACTCCAAAGGTGAAGAAAATGTTTAAAACCGTGTTTATAAGGTGATGTGACATCTAACATGCAAATTAAGTAATTAGTGACAGAGAAAGAAATTAATTAAAATGTTTACTTGTTCAATATACAACTATGTACAAACATAGGAGAACTGTTGAATTGAAATACTGAGGATTCATCATTATATGTTGGATATCAATTTTTGTGGAATTCGTGGTTAAAGGTGAACCACAATTCAAATGTTCAAAGAGTTACACATTTTCTATAAGCTTGTATACTTCTACAAAACCACCAAATCAAATATTCATAGAAATACAATGTTCCTTCATTCCACGAAAAATTGACACTCATGAAAATAAATAAATCCACATTATTGAAGATCTTTTTGTCCATATAATTACTTAACTTACAAAAAAAAAGCACAATTAGTTATAGGTGAAGACTAGATGGCCCATGTTTGTAGATCTTGTACAGCTGATCATGTCTGCTGTTTACAGTTTCTTCTATGTATTATAGTTTCCAAGATAAAAGGCAAAAAATATAATTTAAGGGCAATAACTCCTGCAAGCAGTCAATTTCAGTTCTATAGGCAATTTTGTTGTAGTTCTTGAATTGCAGATCATATTTACAGTTTCTTTCTATCTATCAAAGTTTTTAAGATAGAAGGCAAAAAAGCTATAAGGAATTAAAATAAAATCATCATTTAAGGGAAATATTTCCTGCAAGAAGGTATGGTTTCAGTCATAATTGCAATTTTGTTGACCTTATATTGCTGATCACAGCTTCTGTCTTTAAAAAAGTCAATAAAAAAAGATATGTTTGATAAAAAAAATCATTATTTCAGGTCAAAAATCCTAAAAAAGGAAGCCATCTGACAATATTGCAGGTACAAATAGAAAGTAGATAGATCTTGACATTCTCAATATTTATGCCCAGTCAGATTTTCTGTAACTTTTATGATTTTCAAGATATTAGACAATTAAGAAATGCATGTTACTTATATTCTTTTTTTAGCTACGGTGGCCATATTGCTTGATGGGCCCAAACAAAATTAACAAACTTTAATCTAAATACATTTGAAGCATCAATCATGTAGTTTTACTTAAATTGGTACAGTAGTTTCAGAGTAGAATGCCTTTGAAAAAGTTTGGGGACAATGGACACCAAGTATAGCACATCAGGCCTTCATCCAAATGAGTTTAAAATATTTATAAAATGACTGATCAGATTTAAGAAATGCCAATGACAACCACCTAGGCCATTCACACTTTATTCTTTTTATTCTAATTCAATTTTGCCAAGTAGTTCTAGAGGAGGTAATTGAAATGTCAAAATTCAATGGATGGAAGTACGACAGACACAAGTGTCAGATGACAAGACCTCACACTGGCCCTTTGGGACAGGTGAGGTAAAAATGATAGCACACATTGTATATTGGTGTACATATAATGAACAATATAACAAAAAGCACTTTTTTTTCAATATTTCTTCAACCTACTCAACAGATCTGTTTCAACAGATCAGATTTTCGATCCATTTTAAAAATGCTAGATAGTTGGAAAAATATTAGGTCATGAAGTAATAAATTGGGCAAGGTTTAATTCTCTGGTCTGCACGTCTGTATAAAGTAACTTACCAATCCACACATGACTAATATTGTGGTTACTAATCAGCTTTCCAAATCCTTGATTACTATTGTATCCATCTGTCTTCACCAAGTGACCACCATACCTATAAAATAATTTAGTTTTTATAATAGATGAAGTGTAATTATATGGTCAGATCATATGTTTTCGTACATCATATGAATTCGTACTATGCATGCTTTTTCAATGGAAATTGTGATGTCACAATGCATTCTTAATAGCACGAAAACCCATGAGACAAGGATAAAATTATTTCCTAGTTGCAGATTTTATTTGTAAATTACTATCAAGTTAAATCATTCAGATGAATAGTTTCTCCATATTTTCACCATCCCTTCTCTTCTCATAGCAGCCACAAAATTGTATACATCTTCTAAGTTCTAATTGTACTGATTCATCGATCAGATTTGCTTTAAGTTCCGTCAAGGAATGGGAAGAGCAACTATCTATGTAGTTTTACTCTTTTGACCACATAAAATATGGCATTAACAGTACAATTACAAGAAAAACAGATTTCTATAAAATGTATTTAATTCACATTTTTAAGACTCCAAGATCTAGAGCTTGGCATAATGTAGACATCTGTCTAATGTTGAAGAAAGTATGTTACCTCTTTACATTGCCTTACACATTGGTGGGTTGCTGTCTACTTTTATTTGAACTTGGCATAAAAGTACATGCAGTAGCATTATTTGAATTTGTACATTCTTTGAATAATTACCCACTTCCATGTATACTTTATGTTAATGTTAAATAAATTGAACAAACTAAAAACAATCATAAAATACTATCTGAATATTTATTTAATGTTTTATAATCTAAAAACAACCTCTGAATTCAGTAATTCAATTATTTCAAGTACAAATGCACTTGTTTTCATTGATATTTCATATACCTCCCTGATAATTTAGTAACTATGTTACAAGAATAACAATGAAGACAAAATACACTTCACAAGCTTGATTAAAATATAATTTTTTGGATAAAGAAGTTTTATAAAAAAGTGTTTTTAATTAAAATGGTACTAGCACTTTAGAAATCAATAAGCATTGAATACTGCACTGAAGATATCCATGCATATTACAAATCATGAATCATGTCTAAAAGCTGAAAAACATCTGGGTTCAAAGAATCATCAAAACCCTGTGCACAAATTACACCATGCTATAGAATCTATTTTTATGGAGATATTTTCAAAAGTTATGGAAGGAATAAAACTAATATAATACCTTTTTGCTTAAATACACCACTATAAAATATGGAGATGTGGTATGATTGACAATGAGACAACTATCCACCAGAGACCAAATGATGTAGATGTTTGCAACTATATGTCATCATATGGCCTTCATCAATGAGCAAAACCCATACTATAACAGGCCCAGACATTACAAAATGTAAAACAACCAAATGGGAAAATCAACAGCCTGATTTAAACAATATGAGAAGGATATGACAGTCACTGCTGTTTATGGTTTGTGTAAGTACAATAACTGTGGTAGGATTAAACTGTTTGTTTTACTCTTGACTGACAGAAGTGACAAAGAAATAGGAAATTACTACAAAAGTTGACTAACTAAAATATACTTAGCCTGCTTTAATAGTTGAAGTCAAAATCTAACAATTGTCAGATGCACAAACACTGCTTATTTTAAATTCCTCTATTAATTATCCTTAACCTCTCTACAGAAATTCTAAGATACATGCCCTTTCCAAACATGACCATTGTAGTGATTGTACCGTAATATGAGGTCAAGGCTATATGAAATATGTCAGATGAAATACACTACTGTCATCAAATATGGAGTGTAAAAAAAGATTAAGATCACCTGACAAGTCAGGCAGACAGTTTGTTCTTATGTTGTGCTGTAACACCACTGTCCCAGGTTAGGGGAGGGTTGAGCACTCACAAACATGTTTAACTCTTCCACATTCTTTATGTGCCTGTCCAAAGTCAGGAGCATGTAGTTCAGTGGTTGTTGTTGGTTCATGTCTGTCATATTTGTTTTTTGTAAACTGTTTTGTTATAAATTAGGCTGTTAATTATCTCAATAGACTATTTTCATATTACCGACTTTTGACTCAAAAGTTTATATTTTTTTTCAACAGGTTACCTTCTCTGTGGTAGGAAATCCTGGTATTCGGTCAAGTAAGAGCAACCTAAAGAAGTAAAATCAAACTGACGATCGCTACAATTTAGGACGAAATTAACTGTTTTATATTTTCTATACACAACAAAATCTTCAGAAAACAGTAAACTTTCCCCCCAAATTGCGCCGATTATATGTTTGATTTTACTTGTTTTAGTAGCTCCTACTTGACCAAGTACCAGGATGTCCTACCACAGAGTAGGTAACCTGCTCTATTGAATTGTTTCATATTTTTCATGTCAGGCCTTTTATAGCCAACTATACGGTAGAGGTTTTTTTCATTGTTGACCTATTGTTGCTTACATCCACTTCATTTGAACTTTGGTTGATAGTTGCCTCATTGGCAATCATACCACATCTCCTTATTTTTATATAAAAATTGTTAAAATGAATCCACATACAAAATATAGTTAAACTGTCAGGTATAGTTACTGAGGAACAGACCTGAACAAGAAACATCACACATGATTTAATATTTTGTTTAATTTTCTATTTGGTGGTAGTCATGTTTGATAAAAATAATGGTATGCAATTCCTGGCAACTAATTGCACTACTGGACTATAAGCATTTCTCCTTTTCGGAGTAAAAAGGCTGACTTCAAGTGATTTAAAAAAATAATAGATTGATTGTATGATGTTTGATTCATGTCCTGTCCAGTGCCAAATATTTCATGCATATTAAGCATGAGAACAAATTACTGGTAACAATAAATTCAATAGGTAGGTTCTGTAAAGTGGGTCCCAGGGAATGAAAGTCTGGAAATTCAGACTGCCACATGGATAGGGACAGAAATTTTGCCTTGCAACAGGTAGCATATGAACCCATCACAGAGTTGTTGTAAAGGTTCTTCAACAGTCAAAGAAAACACCACTCTCAAAACATGGGGCAACATTTAATGTTCCCATTCTAACCAGAGGTTAAAAAAATCAGAAATTTATGTATACCTTTTGCAAAGTATGTCAGCCTGTTGGAATGTAGCTTCTTCGTTAACTATATAATAACACTGATTCCTGAATTTAAGCCAGCCTGCAATTAAAATCATCTGGTATTAATTACCTTTTGTTATCTATAATAATTAATACTTCTGTGTGATTTTGTTAACAATAAAATCGAGAAAACAAAAGGATTGGAAAATGGTAAAAGTAAGAGAAAAATGTTAGGCTACAAAGTTGTTCAGAATCTTACTACAAGAAATCTAAAAAATCAAAAGTTTGGCAGTTTACACATAGACTCTATTCATATTTACTCCTAAATTCAATTTTGAACTGATAAAATATGTGTTTATTACAGATTTCCATCTGTATGAAGCATTTGTGTACAGTAATGGAAATAAACATTTGAGATATACATGTAATTTGAATTGAATAAAAATTCAATATCAAAACCCAGATTGAATTTTTAAATATTTTGTTTGATTTAAAAAGAATACTTCTATTATTTCACAAGTAATGAACTTTATTGTTATTATTATATTAAAAAGTGGGTCTCATTGGGGTCTAAGCGTGACGCGGGATTGGCGACTTTTTTGTAAGCATGACACGTGAAAGTCAAATTATTTTGAGCGAAAATAGGAAATCAAGTCGGCCAGGTCACGTGAAATTACAAGCCTTATTATTACAATGATAAGCGTTATACATGATTTTGACAAAACAATAAGGGGGATCCAGGATCAGACACCCCCCAAATGAGACCCCTAAAAAATGGTGAAAAGGTTTGGGTTTTTTTCAGACTCATCTTAGGAATAATTAATTTTACCTGTTGGACATTCTAACAAAGATTCATCCACCTGGTAAAGCTGAAGGTCAAATTCATATGTTGGAGCCTGAAATTAGATGTTAGAAACAGTATCTCATATATATCAATAGTGGAGAAATTAATTCAAACAAGGGTCTATAAATATAGCTATACAAATCCTTGATTCAAAAAATTATCGTCAATCAAAAAAAAAATCATTTTACAAATTATGTTGTCCACGGACTATGAATTCTAATAAGGATGGACTAATATTTCCTTATGTTATATTAGTCCAAATAATTATGACGTCTTGCAAGGCTATTTTAATTTTTTTTTTCTGTGACGCCTTCCTACGAAATAAAACTAAGATAGCCTTGCAAGACGTCACAGTTATTTGGACTAATGTTATATATGACTTTTTGTAATGTTAATCTATTTTATAAAAGCTTACTGATGATCTTATAGAGCTCTGTAACGTCTGTTGATCTTAATAACGAAAAACATCCATAGAAAAAAATGGACCGGAAACATTAAAACTAAAACACAATCCAAATACCGTATATCTCGAACTCTTTTCGCTATCTATTTTAAAAACGTAAAAGAGGGGCGTAAATGGGGAGTGTCTGCATGGAAGAACGCGAAATAAAATTGTCATTTCACGATGAACGAATAATTAAAAATTTCTTGCACGTTGATCTTTTTACCGATTTCACGAAACACGGTGAATAACGAACCTTTTTCACGGTTGCACGTGAAATAAAAATGGCAAAACACGTTGCACGAAGATAACCCTTTACCACCCTCGTAAAAAAAAACACGTGCCTTTCATAAAATCATCTAATTATCCAAATACAATTGTCTCAAAGTAGGTAAAAGGAATTAATCTCATCTTCTTAACGCACATATAAGATAATATGTAAAATATAAGCATACTATCAGTAACTACATATACTAATGCTAGTACTGGAAATAGCTGTATATTTCCAGGGTTGGTGGCTAAAGGCCACAATAGATGATAGTCGACCGTTTCGTCAGTTTTACGTTCTATGTCAATTTTCATTTCAGTTGGAAAATACAATAAATTATGGACAACGGGTGCAATTTGATAACAAATAAATGTGAATGTGTCCATGGGACACAGATGATGCCCCCGCTTGCATAAAACATTTTAAAGGGACATTACTCAAGAACAATAAAAGCGACGTTACCCAAATTTGTACTTGATCTGAGTTTTGTGGTAATAAGTATTATGTATAAGTTTCATAACATTTGGTTGAGGCAAACTAAAGTTAGAGAACGGAAACGAAAAATTCAGCATTTTTTTCCATTTGTAAAGGGGCATAACTCTAGAACGGTAAAAGTGACGCCACAAAAATTCAAACATGATCTGTGTTTTGTGGTAATACGCATTGTGCATAAGTTTCATAACATTTGGTTGAAGCAAACTAACGTTAGAGAACGGAAACGAAAAATTCAGCAATTTTTCCGTTTGTAAAGGAGCATAACTCTAGGACGGTAAAAGTGACGCCACAAAAATTCAAACTTGATCTGTGTTTTGTGGTAATAAGCATTGTGCATAAGTTTCATAAGCAAACTAAAGTAAGAGAACAGAAACGAAAAATTCAGCAATTTTTCCGTTTGTAAAGGGGCATAACTTTAGAATGGTAAGAGTGACGCCACCAAAATTCAAACTTGATCAGTGTTTAGTGGTAATAAGCACTGTGTATTAGTTTCATAACATTTGGTTGAGGCAAACTAAAGTTAGAGTATGAAAACTAATTTTGGGACGTACGTACGGATGGACGGACGTACAAACAGACAAGGTTCAAACTTAATGCCCCCTCCGCTACGGCGAGGGCATAAAAAAGTACTAAAAAGACGGGGATTATTAAATTTTAGTAGTCAAATAGTCGTAGTATGTCGTGAAATGTTATGGATATATTGCTGAATCCCATACCAGCAGTGTATGGGAAACCTTGTTCATATTTTGTCAAGGGTATTTCCGGTGGTTTGGATTTCGTCCAAACAATAGCAAATTAATTTTTGTTTAGGTCAGTATCATAAACTGAAAACGTGAAATCCGGCCATTTTTTCCTCGATTGGATTCCAACGGGAAATGTTAATCTCCAGTTATGTGGGGTGGGGGTCAAGTGGTTGCAAATAACTTTGCAACATGTATCACGGTCAGTTATCAGAGGATTGGTTGATTTATAGAAAATATATGAAAAATATATACACACGAAATCTTGAAAACTTTTAAAAACCACAAACTTATTACTTCAAGTAAATCATTATGAAATTACACTGGGAAAGCCTCTAAATTTGTTTCGTTTTGCCTCATATCCTTTTTTTTAAAATCATAGCTATAGATCACACTTTAATTCTATTAAGTGAAGTTTGTAAATAGCCATCCGTTTTAAACGGCATATCTTGTATGTTTTACCACTTAAAAGAAAGGAAAATATTGTAGATATGAACAATGTATCTTTATCAATTGCTTTTTTCCTGAAGTACATAACTAGTTGGTTACACCCTCAGATAACCATCAAGTTCTCTAGTCAATCATCTCTCACGTCTTATTCTTCGTTGTTTCACATAGAAGATTGTGTCTCCTGATTTTTCTCGTTACTGAACGTAGTTTCTGCTAATTTGAAATTTGTAAATAGTATAAATATGCTTTTACTAAATACGTTCAACTTATAATTTCAGATGAGAACATCTTTAAAAAGAAAAGTGAAGACGTGATTAGAAAAGTTCCTAAATTCAATATTCAATGATAACATCAAGACACTCTTTTGCAATCATGGCACTCCGTCGTAAATTCAATATTCAATTATTACTCCCAGACACCCAGCAATCATTGCAATCTATGGTATGAAAATAAAATGTTATAGACCCATGTCGAAAATGTAGACGTGAAAGAAATTACCGTATGTACTATTTGTACTTTGGGAACCTATAGTGTGAGCATGGGCACATGGTTTCAAGAGGTGAACGTCAGCAATACGATGCGGTTAAACTAACATTTATGAATTTATGAACAATTCCCAGGATTTTTACTTAACCAGTGGCGGATTCAGAGGGTGGTCGTAGAGGGCGTACCCCCATTAATTGGAAAATGTATCATTTTTTTGCATAAAATCGTCCAAATAATTTCGTCTCGCTCCGCTCGGCGAATTAATATACAGTGTTCTGGAATTTCGCCTCCTTTCAAAAATCCTGAATCCACCACTGTCCCCTTCTGTCACATATGTCACCCTTGTGAAATTATACGACGATAGAAATGAAGTGGTTTGATAAATAATCCTGTATTGATTAATTGGTGTGACCGTTTTTATCTTTTCCGTCCAAACTACAAGAACTATTAGAGGATTGTTTCCTTCCATTGCATTGCATGCCTTCGATTAACGGCGAAGAAATCCTTTAATTGTTTACATGTTCTGTTTATAGAAATACGTATAGATCGTTAAAAGAGAAAAACATATTCTAATGAACTGAAAATTCATTCGAAAAGCTTGTTATATTTGATTGCGCAAAAAAAAATCATCTATACATTATAGACCGTCGGAGTACTTGTATAAACTATGTACAAAAAGTAAAATAGGAGCACTTAAATATTGTTTAACTAACTTTTTATGAAGGTCTGCTTCAAACCTAAATAACAGTTTTAAAACCGTCTTACCTTAAAAGTTTTAGTTTATGTTAATTGAAAAAACAACTTTTTAAAAATAAAAAAAATGAAATTGATTCGCCATTATCATGATTATTACCATAATTTTTAAAGGCGTATTGTCTATCAAAATCGTATTTTTTCAGCATGTAAAACTGATGTGGATTGACTAAAATAAGGGTATAATAATGTTTCCAAATCGAAAAAATGAGTTTCTAAAAATGCACATACCAGAACGATTTGTGTGTGTGTGTGTAAAATAGGTATCAACCAATTTTTTTAATATATCAATCAGTCTAATTGTAGACATATAACGAGATTTCCTTTCTGTGCCTATGAGATGTAGTTTTAACTGTCAGAGACTTCACTGCCTTTTCTTTATGCTAGGTTGAAAACAGAACCAGAATGATTTTAAAAACTTTATCACGCTACAAAATTAATATCCCGCCCTAGAAAGTCGTTTCTTAACCGGCAAAATGAGAAATATACGTAGTAAGAAATCAATCCATGTTATGCGTCTCTTCCAGGAAAATGTTTTGAAAATGGAAATTGAAATATTTTAAAACCTTATCGATACAAAACGTGTTTTATGCTTAACTTTCCTGTGCAATTGATATGACTCCACATTTTGATGGACATTCGAACTACGCAAAGTTTTATTGTAGGTTGTAGTTATTTTTTCTATGTCCGTACGTCTGTCTCCGTTGATTTTGATTTTAACGTCACATACGTGCATTTTGTTAATTTTCTTCTGGATTTCGATATGTGATTCTCAATGACAGAAAAATCTTTCTAATTAAACTCAAATATTGCATCTGCGATACCTTCGACTTATTTTATTAGCCTATTTTTTTAATTTTGTTTATTTAATTCTTTTCTTACTATTTATTTATTTATTTATTATATTTTTAAAGGCAATTCGTAATGCCAGCCCTGGATTTATTTTGTAGTTTTGTTTATTTTGCATGTATCCCTTCTTTCAATTGTCCGTCTGTATTTGTCTGCATTCAGTTGTCGTTGTCAATAACTTTGTTCATCTTGTCGTTGAATGTAATCAACACACGTTGATGCTTTGTGTATATACATACGAAAGCTCAAGGAGAAGGCATGCATAGGATAGCCTCATTTATTTCTAGGTTTTAGGGGTTAACATTTTTACAACCTCAACCTGGTTTGAAAGTACTAGTATAACAAAAACTCCCTCCCCCTGTCTTCCTTCATTTTTGTTTAATATACTATCGTGTTTTTTTTTTGGGCTATTATATACGTGAAGAAACATTATTGGAAATTGCAAAATTTCTTATTCGGACTATAACTTAGTGATTATGTTTATATTTGCAGATGTTGAAACACACCTCTCCGCTTGATATCGTGATGCATCAGAATCCAAGGTCAATAACCTCTGAAAATTACACGCTTAATTTGTGTGCAATCCATGTCTTGAATTCTATATTTACTTCAGTGATACTATTTATTTTTGGCTGATTATTTCTGCCCCCACCTCTGGTATGAACAGAATGGCAAAGACCAAGGCTAACATTTTAAGCAGTGATTTGTATGGGTAAATGGCTGATATCATAAAAGCTTTTCGAAATATTTTTTTTTTTTATTTTGGTAAATTTAGGTAGGAACTATTGAAATAAACTATAGATTGGCAAATGAAAATGCAACAATTATATAATCTCATAGTTATAAGATTGTAATTAAAATAGTTAAATCTGACATAAAAGCACGTGTTACATATTTAAGTACCAACCTTGACACAAGATGTAAATATAAGAAATCCAATTGACCATAAAATCAGAAAAATCAATTTCCAAACGGACATCAGCCCGACCATCTGACTGCACAGAAAAGTCGTTCCCCACCCCGGGGCGACATCGGGTCGTCTCGGAAAGCAAACGTCTCCAGAATCCTTTTTGAAATCAGTATTTAGAGAAATCAATATATTTTTTTATAAAATCCAGTTTCGGTTAAGCTGTGTTTAAAAATCCAAAAACAAAGCGTGATTTGATTTAATCCGGCTGAATGTCATTATCTGTAATTAACAATGACATGGTCAGCATCCTAGATACACATTGTCAATTGTAGTGTATTCCGTCATACCGGCATGTATGTATGTATAGTAAAGCGACATATCAGTAGAAATATGATCCAATACACATAGCCGGGGGAAATACAGGTTCCTATTATAGCTCAATCAATAAATAGATTTGTTGTGTATGTTTATATCACATAACGTGTTCTGTTCAAAGTACTGTAGTCACTTATATCATAAGATAAGATCACAATATTTTTAAAACGATCACAAAAATTAATGTTCCCCTAAACCAGTCGCCTCAGGAATATTTACTGGGCGCAAACAAAGACTAACCAATGAAATATCAACACTGCACTCATTCATAGTTAAAGTAATATACTGCTGTAAAATAATGCATGTGTTTGTTAGTTAAATGACAGTCTCTCGTATTTATAAGTATCAATATCCATAAAAATACTAAAGCCAACAACATTTAAATCCATCCATTGTCCCAGCGAGAATAATTATCATCGTGATAGTGTAGGATATAACATGAACTTAAGTACACTCCGTTGTTCAAGTTCATATTGATATGCTTGGGTGTGGTTCACTTTTACCCTATCAATTTGCAAATAAATAAGTTAAATAATACTGTATTTGCATTCCTCGGAGACAAAGCAAGAGAAATATACCAATTTTGTAGTTGTCAGCACATTAATGTGTATAAATTTTCGTCTTTAAATCGGAACATATATATTTCATTTATTGCGGCATTTTCACAGCATTACTGTGCTAAATACAAACTGTGTTTAAAAATGCATTAACATTCAAACAACATTAATTTCAAAAACGAACACACGAATATGTAATAAGATCATGTAGTTGTGAAAATATTAGAAAATGGAGAATCTTAAAACTAAGTGCACTTACACTTGAAAGAGGTCACAAAATTAAAAGTATCTACATTTAATAATGAATTTCAATTACCTAGCTTTTCGTTTGTTTTTCATTTTGTTTACAATAAAATTTAATTTTGTTTTTTTCGGAGCGTGGTTTTATAGGACCGTTTTCTTTCAAAAAACATATTTATCACATATTTGATAAAATGATTTCTAATGTGCATGGTTTTTTATTGTTTACGAAAACGTATAGTAGCGTCTTGGAATTTAAAAGATGTTTATGATTTTTTAATTCAAAAAATAAAATCAGTAATTCCGATGTCATTAATTGTTCAGAGAACATCACGAAAACTATATTCAACAAATAAGGTAAGCAGTATTAGGAGTTGTCTCTCGTATTTTTTGTTCTTTTGTGTGTGTAAATACCCTTAAACACAAAGGTTATTGTATTAGTACTGCTGTATTTGTATGTCAGTGGAAAATACTTGACTTTCAAATAATCTCTTTAGAACAAAATTGAATTTGCTTTTCCATTTCACCTCGATCGAATTCCAGACCAGTATCTCTGTCTGACTGGCACTCCTCCCCTCCCCTCCTTCTCCACAATGCATGGACGTAATCGGTTTGGCGAAATGCGCACACAATGTTGGACGAATACTGCGGTCTCTGCACGTTAAAGAGCCTTTGCAACAACTGTTGTCGTTTATAGGTATCCTGTTCCTAGGCCAAATTTCTGCCCCTATACAACCGTGTTTCCTCTTTTCCAGTGGCAGTCCGACTATCCCCTCTCTGTACATACTTATTTGACATAATGATTAACTTGTTCTTGTCTTGACATATGCGAAATATTTGACATTGAACGTTAAGCAAACAACAATCAATCAATCAACCAATCATTCTTTATATCTGTTTTTTTCTTATAAAGTTATAACATGCAATTTAAAAATATGAAAATCACGTATAAAAAATTTCTTTTCGTCCACTTTTGTGTTTTGATCTCCTGTGATAACAAATTGATTTATTTATTGATTGTTGTTTGCTTCATGTCCAGTGGCAAATAGTTCATAATATTCAGGACGAGATACCAAATTGAAATAAGTTTTTTTTTCTGGTTTGAATTCCGCTGACAGAGAAATTAAATGAACATTTAAGAACTGGTGTTCGATCGTCTTCTTTAAATTCATTCACAATGTGTGTTGACGTACAAAGAATTAAAGTTTGCTATTATGCCTATCCATACGGCGTAAGACCTTATGATGGATTTGTTCACTCCACTGGCTGTGTAATAGGTGGAGGATAGGGTGGAGTTTGGACCTACGAAAGGGGGACGTCACAAAATAATTTGTGAAGCATATAGAACGCCAAAACTGTCTTATCATGCCCATTTTCGTTATATGATGTGCATTTACCTTTTTATGATGTGCACTTGTCATTATATGATGTGCAAACACGAAGCACGATATTTTTGTTTTGTTTTATCCACCAAAATCGTTCAATTTTCTGCTCAATCCATTGTGTGCTTTAAAGTGAATTATTTGAAGAAAAAAATGAAAATGCTAAATATTTAGATATTTTAATACTCATGTAATAACAAAAAATATATCTATATGAAAGGAGACGACAGTGGCCGGGTAGATGTTTACGAGGCAAATATCTCACAAAATACTTTCATCTAATACGGTTGATGGAAATGGGGTCCTTCAAAAAAATAAGCTAAAAAGCTTACACCTTAAAAGCAAAGCATCGATTGTTTAAAAAAAATGTTGTAGTATTCGCTTCAAGATATCTACATATCTATACAGAAAACAAGATATACATTTATATGCCAGTGTTTATAATACCTTGTAAGGTGTCGTATCAAATTATTTGAAATTGAAAGATATTTAAGACTTGAGGAGGTCACTCTAAAGTATCACACAGCAGAAAAAATCGTATTATAAATCCTCTGTAATTCAGACATATTGGAAAAAATGATTGTATTTCATATATTTCTATTTTTATCTTCAATTTTAAAAAGAGGCAGGTCCAGTTTATTCTTTATTTGTTACATTCATAGGGTCAATATAGGGTCAATATAGGGTCGATATAGGGTCAATATAACAAATTAATTAGAACCTATTGGAATTAGAAAATTAAAAATTCTAAAGCGCTTTAAATAATTTTACATATTTCCATTAAAAAAATAATATTCAACGATATTGCTGTTGAAGACATTTAAGCAACTTTTACTTGTTTCTTTTTTTTTCATCGGCGGACTTCTTTGGCCAAAATTAATTACTTTGTATCAGAAGGAACATTACTTCTAGAAGAATCATTTTTGTATTTTTGGTTAGGAATGTCCTCCTTAGATCTTCTTATATATATTTTTTGAAAAAATACTCAAAATTTGTCAATTGCATTAAAACTACAGAATTTACCTATATATATATATATTTAGGCATAAAATTTGATTGCATGTTTATGAATAAGTAAATATAATGTCAGAACTTCACACACGTGAGGCTGTGAAATAAATCCATGGAAATTGGCGCTCTTTCTTCCTAATGAAAATTCATTTAGACATCTAACCTATATAAGAAGCTCTATAAGGTGCTAATCGAAGCAACTGCCTCGGTAATTTTAAAAAAGAAAAAATGTAGCCGTTTAACCTTCACCCTTTAATATACATTTTTAAACAGCGTCCACCAAATGCAGCAAACCGTAGCTAGTCGTATGAGTTATACTTACTAGTATTTTAAAGAGGCACATAGATGTTGTGCTTCCCAGATTTGTTTTTCGTAGGGGACTTGATTCACAACTTGAAGTCACGCCTGGTCAAAGCCATATTTGCGAAATAAACATGTTTAACCCCGCCATGTTTTATATGTTCCTGTCCCAAGTCATGCGGGCGTCTGTAACTCAGTAGTTGTCTTTCAGTTGGTTGATGTCTGTCATATTTATTTTTCTTTTATTGTTTTGTCATAAATCAGGCCGTTGTTTTTATCAATTGAACAGTTTCCCATGGACTTTGTTTATGTCGGGTCCTTTTTAAGTTGACTATACGGTATGGGTGTTCCTAATTGATGAAGGCCGTACTGTGACCTACAGTTGCTTAGGGAACGGCCATTTAACTCCAAAAAGGGGGGGAGGGTTATGGTTTTTTCTTAAAAAAAATATTCTGATCCCCAATTTGATGAAAAAAAATAATGTGGTCAAGCAGATGACAAAAAAAAATTCTGTATCCAGATTTTCCCCATACCTTAAAGTGTTAAATTTTGAAAAAAAAAATAATTTGATTGATAGCGTCGAAAAAATAAAAGAGTGTTTGCGTGAAAAAAAATTTCTGACTAGACAAATAAACATACCCCCCCCCCCCCCTTGAAGTTAGATGGTTGCTCCCTTAAATCCGCTTCATTTGGACTGATTGTCCCGATGGTAATTACGCCCAGAGACATATACCATATCTCCCTATTTTACATTGAAACAGCTACTGATAGGTTCCTCTGATTGAAATAATAACAAAAAAATACGATTTCACTTGCAAAACATCAATGCTTTCGGGTGGGGACTGCCCCCCACATACCTGCCTTGCTAAAATCATAGGTAAAACTACGACTGTATGCATTATATATATAGACTTAATCTGAGTACTAGTAATGTCAGTCTCTTTAGGTGCAGGTGGCGTCATAAGATGTAGTTCTTGAATTTCAACATCGTTTGAATAATTTAAGACAGTCTTGTTTTAATTGTCACAGTTGTTCAAAGGAGGAAGTAATTTTAGTATTTCATACCATATAGAAATAGATAGTCAGTGGTAAAAAAGTTGAATACCCTTTCAATGTATCATTTTCTTTTTTTAAATATTGTTCTCAACCATGTATATTAAGTAAAAAATTAAAACAAACACGTTATATATAAATTTCATGCGTCCGAAGAGCTTTTCTGGATTTACCTTCATCAGGAACACTCAAAGCCGAATGTTTGAAATTCAAGGATGTAAAAGAACCGAAACAGTAAGTACTTAAGTAAGTAAATTGAAATTTTATTTAGAGTAGGCTCATATATACCGCGAGCAAAAAGTTACATGAGCTCTATGGAGCTTTTACAACCGACTATAAAAAACATCAGCATATATATTCACCAAGCATTATATAAACAACAACACAAAAGCATGCAGCACTAGAGAACACATTTAGATACAAAGAAAAATACATAGCATAGCATATAAATTAAGCCATAAAAATAAGGCACTAAATTAAAAGCAAAGCTCAGCATAATTTTAGTAATCATTTATTACAAGCACACAAGAAAAATAGCATAACACGTGACATAAACAAAATGCTGTATGTAACTGGGAGCAGGAATCAAGTTAGCTGCTAGGAAGCACTGGTTGGAATTTGCATGAATTATAATTATATTTTGTCCCCAAACAAGCTATTTATACAAGGCATGCCTTTATACGTTTAAACTGGGCTCTTTCAACCATTTACAAGCCAAAAGTTTGTTCCGTCGGTATTGCTACATGTTCAATAAGTATTAAACAATTAAGAATATCTTTAACCTTTATCTATCTCTATATCTGCTGAAATTAATTTTGTCAATCAAATGCAAATTCATGGAAATTTCTTATGTGTAAAAGAAAGAGCCCATCTTTAAACGACGATTTTGTTTCAATTGTTTTAAAGTTGACTTGGCTGTTTA